GACTTAAGTATTTCATTATGATAAGGAGAAAAAAGATTTAGTGGGGATCCTTGGATAATATATCAGATACTTGAATTCATTTGGTTTATTTTTATGTTTTAAAGATTTTAGGGATCCCTGGGTGGCGCAGCGGTTTGGCGCCTGCCTTTGGCCCAGGGTGCGATCTGGAGACTCCGGATCGAATCCCACGTCAGGCTCCCGGTGCATGGAGCCTGCTTCTCCCTCTGCCTGTGTCTCTGCCTCTCTCTCTCTCTCTCTCTCTCTCTCTGTGTGTGTGTGTGTGTGTGTGTGTGACTATCATAAAATAAATTAAAAAAAATTAAAAAAAATTAAAAAAAAAAGATTTTATTAATTCATGATAGACCCAGATAGAGGCAGAGACACAGGCAGAGGGAGAAGCAGGCTCCCTGCAGGGAGCTCGGTATGGGACTGGATCCCAGGACCCCAGGATCATGCCCTGAGCCAAAGGCGGATGCTCAACCACCAAGCCATCCTGGTGCCCCTAATTTGGTTTATAAGGAAACTTTTAGGAGCACATCTCTTACATAAATTGAGTTTTACCTGTACTAATTTACCCACGCATTTGTAGATATGTTTATCTACAGTAACAGTTTTGGTGTGTCAGTGCTGGCTTGTCCTACTCTCTCCACAAGAGAAATATCTCAGATCTCAGTGTGGGAGATACCATAGCATAGTGGTTACGGGTCATGTCTGGAGCCAGATGGCTTGGATTTCAAATCCCACTATGTTACTTACTGTGTGACCTTGGGCAAAATACCCTTCCTGTGTCTAAGTTTCCATATCTGTACTATTTGGGTAATTATATCTAACTCAGGGTACTATGACAAATGAATTAATGTTGTTGGAAAGCTTTTAGAATATTGCCTACTTCATTGTAAGCATCGTGAACATACTAAATAAAAATATGTAATATAGTTGACAGAAGACTTATGAAAAGATAATCTAGAGTATAAGCAAGGCAGTATATTCTGTATATTAAAAATTAGGTTCCCTGTAGTTCTTCAGGATAGAGAGAGTGAGTGTGGGTGGTATGAGAAAACTTAAAAATTCAAGGAAGAAAGAGTATGTGGGTCATGAACTGAACTGGAATAGATGGGATTCAAGTAGAGAAAAGAGAATACATGTAAATTAGAGGGGAATTTTATGAGCAAGCAGAATTAGAGGTATGCATATAAACCATATTAAGTTGGAGAGTGAGTGGAGAAATACTGGAAGCTATCTCAGGACAATAGATGTGGACAATTGTTAAGGTCCTTAGATACAAACAAAGATAACACTTGGAGATTTTTGCTTGTACATTAGGGTTCCTGAACTTTTATAAAGGAGAAGCTTGTGAATGTTACTATAAAAAGTGCTCTGTGCAGTACTTGATGGAAGGTAAGCATTCAGTAACTGTTAGCTGGTATAGCAATAGTAGTAGAAAAGTATACAGTTATACTGTACAGATGGGCTATATTTGTGTATCTTTTAAAAATTGCCTATTGAGGGACACTTAGGTTATTTCTTTTTTCTATTATCATCAATGCTGATGAGCATCTTTCCATAAAATTGTATACCCATGGTTCCTTAGGAGATACTGAACACTGTTCCTTAAAATCACCATGGGAAGGTGGTGGTAAGTTTCCAAGGAGATGGTAAAAAGGAAATGGTAGGGCTCTGTTAGCTCTAATTCATTCCTCTCTACTGAGAAATCCCAAAAAATCTCATGATAGAAAGGTTATTTTGGTATTAGCTACCATCAGGGATGTAGTTCAGGCAAACTTACTAAAAATGGTATCTTATTAGCCTTTAATGACTTATGGTAAATTTTTTGTTGTTTTGTTTTGTTTTTACTCATAGAGGCTTTAGGAAGGTAATTTGGCATGCCAACTAAAGTATGAGGTGAGACCAAAGGTATTATAATAATACGAGATTGGTCGTCAGAGAACTCCAGAGGAAATAGGGAAGACAGGTCTTGGTAGTTTTTTGGAACGTGGAATGTCAGGGGAGGAAGAACATTCAGTTGATGATACTTCTAAGATTATAAACCTCAGTGACTTGGAGAATGTGATCAAAATACTAAAGTTGGAATGGAAGGCCAATTTCAGAAGGAAGATCAGTTTAAATTTAAATATATTTGAGAAGAGAGGCGTTTAAGTTGACCTACCCTATTAAATATTTGGATAGGATTCAGATTTTGAGTTTCTTTATATAGCATTGATATTGAAACCATGAAAATGGTTGAGTTCAAGTAGATTACACAACTAATAAGTGGCAAAGCTGAGATTCAAATTCAAACTTCTGATTCAAAATTCTTTTTTTTTTTTTTTTTTTTTTGAGAGAGAGAGTATGTGTGAGAGTGGGGTGGGAAAAGGGGACAGGAAGAGAGAGAATCTTAACCAGGCTCCACGCTAAGCCTCCTCATGACCCTGTGATCATGACCAGAGCTGAAATCAAGAGTTGGACTCCCAACGGACTGTGAGCTCTCACAGTTTATATTCTTAGTTTCTGTGTTATAATGAGTGGGAGAAGTCCTTTGTTCACATTTATTATCAAAACATATATTTGGTCTTCTCATTTACCAGGTTACCTCCTTTGTTATTTTGCCATTTATTTTATACCCTGTTCTATGTAGTCTTTATTTCATTTAATAAAATTTCTTTAGCATAGTTTGGGTTTTGAAGGAAGATGTTCCTAGATTTCATCTCAGCTCTGCCATTTGTATCTATTTTTGTATTCCTTAGTTAATTACTAAAATCATGTGCTTTTTCTTAATTCACAATTTCCTTGGTGTACATACAACAGAGAATTCTTCCTGAAATCTAGGCTCCTCCTTCAGTGATAATTCACCATCCTAGTATTTTTTCTGTTATACCTTACTTCTCTGTACTTTGTTTTATATAGGTACACCTGACTGTGACTGTGTCTGCATAGCTTTAGACTTGGCTCTCTATTCCTTTTTTTAAAATATGTCAGCTGACTCTGGATTCTGATTATATTTCTTCTCAATTACTCTGAATTCTGTTTTCTCTTTTCTATCTTTGTGGACTTGATGCAGGCCCATTTTGTTTTTCTCTCCAACTTAGTAATCACCTCCTGTCTCCAGGTTTAGACATGTCCTTTCCAGTCTACCCTCCCTTCCTATCCCACAGGATTCTCTTAAAATATAGATGTTATACTTCCCCACTGCTTCAGAATCCTTCAGTGATTCTCCATCCTCAGCAGTAGTATTCTTTTTAACACTTATTCCTTAGGATAAGTTAAGCGTTTCTCCAGGGAAGCAGGTCAGACAAGTTTGGGAAATGCTTGTATAGATGTAGTTAGCTTTTCTTTTGGCAGAATCTTAGGGTGCTAATGTATATTTTGAATGTACAAAGGGAATATAGAACAACATGCTGCATTTCCCAAATCTGACTGTAGTACACACTAAAAAAAAAAAAAAATACACGTGTAGTGTCTTGGAACAGAGTAATCTGTTTACTTTTAATCACAAAATAAAGTCCATACATCTAGACATGGAACCTTAGCACTTCTTAAAATTTATTCAGCCTTAGCCTATCTTCGTAGTCTCATCTCTGGCATTGACCAAACTAACTTAGAGTTCTTCATGGGGAGGGAGTTATGTCTTTCAGGCTTCAGTGGCCTCACCCATCTGTTGGAAAAGCCCCTACTACTCCTAAAGGGGCATCATCACCATCTCTCTGAAGCCTTCTTTGACTCATCCAGGCCAACTTTACACTTCCTTTCTCAGGACTATTTTATTTTATTTTATTTTATTTTTAACTTAATTTTTTTTTTTTTGACTCAAGACTCTCTTTAGAATATACTTGGCAAAACCCTCCCATTTTAACAATTTGTCATAATACTGTTCTTTACATATTTATTTCTTCTATAGTTTATAAACTCCTTGAAGACTGGAACTGTTTCATTTCTGTGACATAAGTACCTGGTATAATTATCAGATACAGGTTAAATAATTGAATCATAAAATAATTGCAGGAATATTTCAAATAATAGTGTTATTCATACAGTTGAGTCAATTACCAGTTAATATATCTACTATCTTATTTAGAAATCTCTTAGCTCTTTCTATAATGAATAGGTAAGATGATCTCAAATTAAATGCTCTAAGAGGGATCCCTGGGTGGCGCAGCTGTTTGGCACCTGCCTTTGGCCCAGGGCGCGATCCTGGAGACCCGGGATCGAATCCCACATCGGGCTCCCGGTGCATGGAGCCTGCTTCTCCCTCTGCCTGTGCCTCTGCCTCTCTCTCTCTCTCTCTCTCTCTCTCTCTCATTAAATAAATAAATAAATAAATAAATAAATAAATAAATAAATGTTCTAAGAAAATATGTCGGCTAATTGAATTTAAATAAATAAAAAGTAAATGCTTTAAGAAGAAATTTGGGCAGCCCTGGTGGTGCAGCAGTTTAGCGCCTCCTGCAGCCCGGGGTGTGATCCTGGAGACCCAGGATCGAGTCCCACATCGGGTTCCCTGCATGGAGCCTGCTTCTCCCTCTGCCTGTGTCTCTGCCCCCCCCCCCCCCCGGTCTCTCTGTCTCTATGAATAAATAAATAAAATCTTTAAAAAAGAAAAAAAATTTATGGGGAAAATCTAAGAAAATATTTAATTACCATTTTTCCTTTCTTTTTCAAAAAATCTTTTTGTTTGTTTTTATTTAAGTAGGCTCCATGCCCAACATGGGACTTGAACTCGTGACCCCTGAGATCACATGCTCTACCAACAGAGCCAACCAGGAGCCACATTTTTCATTCTGTTTTTCATAGCTTGTAATCATAAAACAAAATACCATTTTTTTTAGATTAGAATAAAATAATTTTCTGCCTTCCATGAAAATAATTTTTGGTCATTAATAACTCTGATTACTTTTTCTCCCAGATAATTTGAATTTCATATTGAGATTATTATTCCATCTATAATTTTTAGGGTAAGAAACATTTTATATGAAATATTGTTTAATGTGTATCTCTTTTCTTAGGCATCATTCTTAACGAAGAAGTTAAATATTGGTGGGAAAAGAGTAAACCTTGCTATATGGGTAAGTTAATCTTTTCCATTGATTGAGAAAAGACTTCTGCTATTCTTTGTATTTCAATAACTAATTGGCTCAAGGAATAGGAATTTGAATTTCTGGATTTTTAAAAAAAGTTTTTTAATGAACATTTTTTCTAAATCAGGCTAAGAATTATACAGTTGTATACATGAATATTACATATCATAACCTTTGAGCTGGGAGAAGGGTAAACTCAGAGGGATTCCATGTCAGAGAAAGTACAGGGTGGATAGACAGCCTGACTGGTCTGTCTTCCCCTCTGTGTTTCCATTCCCACTTTTCAAGGGAATGGCTAGGGGAGAGTAGGGCAAGGGTAATGCATCAGAGTATCTTTTGGCCAGTAGTCCTGGTATGTGCTCTTTCCTTATCTTCTTCCTCTGTGGGGAACCTAAATTTAGGGCAAGGCTTATTCCTGGCTTATAATACCATCTTGGGCATTCTGATCCTCTGACAAATAAGCTTTTTTTAGTGGGGGTGGGAAGTTTGCTGAGGAGTAAGAGGGTTGGGAAGGGTAAAGTAACTTTTGTATAATGGTAAAACATTAAATACTGTTTGTAACATAAATTTTTATAAAATTTATAAATTTTATAAAATGTTTTTTTTTCCTTTTAACAGTGCTTTGAAGTTATCTACCCCACTTTCCAGTTAATCAAAAGTTTATTATAGTTGCAACAGCAGATGTATTTTTTTCTTCTGATCTAATAAGTGTTTGTTGCTTTACTTAGGATACAGCAGGTCAAGAGAGATTCCATGCATTGGGTCCAATTTACTACAGAGATTCAAATGGAGCTATTTTAGTTTATGATATAACAGATGAAGATTCCTTTCAGAAGGTATTCTATTTACTTATGGATCGATTACTTAAATAGAATAACACTAATTTTTCAAGTTTCCATTCACATGCTATTGTTTGCTAATTGTGATTAGTCTTGGTTTTGAAAGTAAAACTTGTGCATCAATGGTTACCACTCATATTTCTTGATGCGGTATTTAATTTATGTTTACATTGTGAATAACAGTTACTGTTTATCACAATGCTTTCTCAGATCTTAGGAAAGGGAAATAATTTAAAATAAAACTATAAAAATCAAGGGGCTTGTTTTTTCTCCATTTTAAAGAAAAATCACACTTATTTCTTGATTCCATATACACTAGGCACATAAATACTTGGTATAGCTGCATAGGCTCCCTAATTGTAAAGAGGAAAAAGAGCTTAAACTTGATTTAGCTTTTCCTTTTGACAATTAGGGAGCTAAATCAAGTTTAAGCTCTTTTTTCTTACTAAGTGTCCTGGAGGATAGAATATAAAATTAAAAGCACATTCTAGGTAGTATTTATTTTAAACCTTTTTCATTATTTTTCACCCTCTCTCTCTTTTTTATTAAAGATTTTATTTATGGGATCCCTGGGTGGCACAGCGGTATGGCGCCTGCCTTTGGCCCAGGGCGCGATCCTGGAGACCCAGGATCGCATCCCACATCGGGCTCCCGGTGCATGGAGCCTGCTTCTCCCTCTGCCTATGTCTCTGCCTCTCTCTCTCTGTGTGTGTGACTATCATAAATAAATAAAAAATAAAAAAATAAAAAGATTTTATTTATTTATTAGAGAGAGGGAACAAGGAGGAGGAGGAGCAGAAGGGAAAGCAGATTCTCTGCTGAGCAGGGACCGCTACGCAGTGCTCAATTTCAGGACCCAGGATCATGACCTAAGCCGAAGGCAGATGCTTAACCCAACTAAGCCACCCAGGCACCTGTCACCCCCCCCCCCTTTTTTTTTAAAGATTTTATTTATTTATTCATGAGAGACACAGAGAGAGCTAGAGGCAGAGACACAGGCAGAGGGAGAAACAGGTTCCATGCAGAGAGCCTGATGTGGGACTTGATCCTGGGTCTCCAGGATCACGCCCTGGACTGAAGGTGGTGCTAAACGCTGAGCCACCTGGGCTGCCCTGTCACCCCTCATTCATTCATTCATTCATTCATTCATTCATTTATTTATTTTTATTTTTAAAACTATTGGTCCTGTGTCTTTTTTTTTTTAAGATTTTATTTATTTATTCATGAGAGACATAGAGAGAGAGAGGCAGAGACACAGGCAGAGGGAGGAGAAGCAGGCTCCATGCAAGGAGCCCGACGTGGGACTCGATCCCAGGATTTGGGATCAGGCCCTGAGCCAAAGGCAGATGCTCAACCGCTGAGCCACCCAGGCATCCCCGCTGAGCCACCCAGGCGTCCCCCCTCTTTTAAACATACACCAGAAATGTAGAATTTTTAAAGTTGTTTGGAACCAAAAATAAATTGATTAAACTTCTCTCTGAATTCTCATCACAGGGTGGTGATTAATTATTTATTTCACCCTTCCTCCTAAAGCCCCTCTTGGAATAAATTTGTGAAGGGTATGTAACTAAAAGGATTAATTTCCAAGGCAGAAAGTTTACTTACCTTGAGTTACAGGTTTGTTCTGTTCCTGTTGAAATCACTTGCCATTTTAGTTTCAGGTGAGTTATCTTTTTTTTTTTTTTTTTTCATTTGTTTTTCAGTATTTAGCTGATGAAACAACTATACAAGTTAGTCCTTGGATTATTACATATGGGAAAATTTAGTTCAAGGAGTAGAAAAAGGAAATAATAAGTAACTTGCAGGTTTAATGATACTTGAAAAATATGTGAGCTGTCATTTGTTGTCCCTTCCTGCGTTTTGAAATGAATAGAAATGGTTTGTTTTATTGATTATAAGAGAAGGTTAAGTTTTTTAGATTGAAAAGTGACCATTTATCTCTTTCTGCATAACAAGACCCCCAGAACTTGGTGGCTTAAACCAATGTTTTATTATTTCTCATGATTTTGTGAGTTGACTGGGAAAGTTATGTGGTATCATTGGAGTCACTCCAATGAACTTGGAATTTGGTTGGGCCAGGACTATCTAGAAAGGCTTGTTCTTCTCCATATGGCCTCTCACTCCCATCTGGTGTCTCATCCTCCAGTGCTCTCTCCACATGCTCCCTCATTCCATATTCTAGACTAAGCTGTTTATAGGACATCGGGATCCCAAGAGTAGCTGCCAGGCCGTCTTAAGGCCTAAGTCTGGAACTGGCATAGCATTACTTCTACCACATTCTCTTGGTCAAAGCAAGTTACAAGACTAGCCTAGCTTCAAACAGAAGGGTAATAGACTCTACCTCTTGATGAGAGGATTTGTAAAGAATTTGTGACCATCTCTAACTCACCACAGAACGTATGGGGGTAATGAATAGGATGCCTGCAGAGGGGATCTAATTGCAGATGAATAGCAAATTTTTTTAAAAAATTGGTTAAATTTAGTAGGTTATGATACTACCTATCCAGGGAGTAGAGGAATACATAATTTGATTCTGGTATGTTTCCTTAGAAATGATGATGATGTACAATTTATATCTAATTGTCACATTTTTCTTATGGGACATCAACTAGGTATGTAAGTTTAGTAGTTTTCTAAAGCTTCATGTACACATGTAAATGAAACAAAAAGATGGGGCTGTACTGAGAAAACTGTGGTTCAGTGCTCTGAGAGAGATAACCTTTGCTTTTACTAAGGTTTGGGGTTTACTAAACACAGTTCCTCTGCGTTCTTGCAGAGAACAGCAGTGTGGAACTGTTATATTTATATTGTAGGATCAGATGTCTGGCAAGTGCTTACTTACCACATATTTAATGTAACTTTTGTAGTTTAAAGATGTGTATGTATTTTTTTTAGGAAGATGTATAAGTTCTGTGTGATTTGATTACATGGAAATTAAATTCCATTACAAAAAAATGAAAGGAGGTATTCAAGTTTGTTCTTTATCCTATTTTATTGTAATCAGTATATTTAAAATCATGAGTTCAAAAGATTAATTTATTTAATTTGAAGGTACTCTCCAACTGTGCCTACTCCTGTGCTTCTTCCATAGTGAAGAATCTCTTTGTTATTGGAGTCTTTGTATACCAGTGGTTCTCCACCAGGGTATGGCAATGTCTGGAGACATCTTTGGTTATCCCAGCTGGAGGGTGGTTCTGATACCTAGTAGGTAGGAGGCCAGGGATGCTAATTATACATTGCACAAGACAGTTCCTCACAATAAAGAATTAACCTGAGCCAAAATATCAGTAGTGTTGAAGTTGAACACACCTGTCCTACACTAAAGTATAAAAGTTTATTTTGGTACTCTTTTTGGTGCCCATATACGTTTTTTTCCTCCTTTTAAGTGTGTAACATAGAAGCTTCTATGCCCTCTAATTTGGAACCCATTGGAGTACAAAAGACTTTTAATTTAAAGATTGATGTTCTTAAGTCCAAAGTGACTCTACAAGCATTTGTTATCAGAGGCTGGAGTTGATATGCTTTTGCTCTAGCAAAATCTGTGAAACATTTATGAAAATTTAAAGTTAGTCGTGTTTTTGTCTATACCTCTATACAGATATAGAGAGAAATCATTCCATTGGATGTTTGTTATGTTGTGATTTGCAATATAGTTTGTCAATAAATGATCCTACAATTAATCATTTCTAGTAACTAAATATATGGGCTGTTAGACAAATCCTGTGGTGTTTTGACAATGTGGAGTTTGAGGTATTGTAATGGTAGTTGTAACAGGATTTATTTTAATACTTACTCTTTTGTATACACAGGTAAAAAACTGGGTCAAAGAATTACGGAAGATGTTGGGAAATGAAATCTGTTTATGTATAGTTGGTAAGCATCATCACTTTTTTTAAAAAGATGTCCTCTGTTTCAAAAAAAAAAAAGTGCTCTGTTTCCTTAATGTTTTATTAGAGAATAGCAAATAAGTAATTCTAATTTTTAAAGTTACATGAGAAAGGAAGAAGAGTGATATTTTAATGTTTTAGAATAACTTACGATTTGTAAGTCCTCTTTCAGGAGATTCAAACTTCAGGGAAGACCTTGGGGAGCAAGTGGGAAACTAACCATGTAAAGTTTCAACTCCCAGCCTTGCTTCGATTTGCTCTTTAGGTTTTTTTTTTTACTGTTAGATTTTCTTTAGGAAAAAAGTTTAGAAACTACTTTAAAATAAAAGTAACGACTAAGGCTACTGTTCTTGTTTTATACATTTAACTATATACGTTTTTGACAAATTTGACTCCCAAGGTATGAGTAGTTCTTGATACGAAGGTAGAGGAATACTCTGGGTAGAATGAAGGAGCTCTAGAACGCACTCTTGGACTTCTGGAATTTCTCTTTGGTTTCCTTTTCCTTTAGATGATTATTTCTGTGATAACTATTGAGCAGTGAAGTATACCAGACACTATGCTGTGTTCTTAGTAGACATCATCTCATGTAATCCTTATATTTTTATGGAAAAATTCCTCTCTCCAGAGGAAGCTGTGTCCTGGAGATATTTAGTAACTTGTACAGTATCAAGTAGCTGTCAGAGATGGGATACGAATTGAAGTCATTCTGACTCCTGTGCGTTGGTATTAATCCCTATGATGAATAGCCTCATGCTGTCGTCTTTCTTCTTTTCTGCATGATTGGTAGAGTAAAATGGCCTAGAAGAAACCAGGTCAGTTGTAATGGTCGATGTGGTCACATTTGACTTTTTAAAGAATTTTTATCTTATTTATTTATTTTTTAAGATTTTATTTATTGAGATAGAGTGAGAGAGCGCTTGGGAGAGGGGCAAAGGGAGCCGGAGGAGCTGACTCCCTGCTGAGCAGAGAGCTCAGTGCAGGGCTCCATCTCAGAACTATTGGATCCTGACCTGAGCCAAAGACAGACGCTTAACCAACTGAGCCACCCAGGAGCCCCAAGGATTTTTTTTTTTAAATTAAAATTTACATTTCTTACATTTTATCATCATTAGATTGGTAAACTCTACAGTTCCACATCAGGGTGCATGTCTGGGCTTCAGCCAAGGAAATGATCTGACCTCCTTTTAAGTCTAGAAGCTAGATGTTAGGTTAGATGGCAGGAGTATTTCGGAATGGAACCCTGTAGTAGTAGACCACATGGAAATTGAGGTCAAAGCGTTAGGTGGTCTTTAGTCTGGTTTTGTCTGGTATCTGGGACTTAGTGGGAGTGGAAGTGGCCACAGTATGAATGACTAAAGATTTGATCATTTGGGATTCTGGTTATCTCTCAGAGGAGGGAAAGAAATGGCTAACATATACTTAAGCCTCAAGAGTTTACTTCACCAAGGTTACAAAGTAACATTTTTCAAAAAATAGGTGGATGAAGGTTATGAGTAATTAATTATATAAGTAATTTAATAAGTATATATAAGTAACTATATATTATTCATGTTCATATTATAAGAAGGTTTAGGAATATTGGATCTGGTAGCTTATTGTCCCAAGTAGTGTCAGATAATCCTCATTTTAATGTTATATAATGTTTATTAATGATTGGTATAAAGCATAAAAAGCTCTCCTTTTCTGTTGGCAGTGTGACATGGAATTTTAGTTGTAATTCATTGTTGAAAGAATTTTGAGAGCCTATTTATCACAAAAGGAAAATTTCACAAAGTTAATATATCTGTGTAACCAGTAACTTAGAGGTCTCACCTGTGATTCTTTTTCATCTCAACACTTCTCCAGCTGCCTTCCTGTCACCATCACCCACCTCCAGACACTGTCTTTACTGTATGGACTAGTTTTGTAGAATTTTATATAAATGAAATTATATAGTATGAACTCTTGTTTTTTTTTTTTTGTTTTTTTGTTTTTTTGTTTTTTTTTGCTTTAGATTATGTTTGCAGGATTCCTCTATGTTTTTGTTTTTATAGTTCATTTTATTCTCTTTGCTCTCTCGTACTTTTATAAATATTCCATAATTTATCCTTTTGTTATTGGTAGGCATTACATTATTATTATTTTTTTAAAGATTTTATTTATTGAGAGACATACAGAGAGAGGCAGAGACACAGGCAGAGGGAGAAGCAGGCTCCATGCAGGGAGCTCGATGTGGGACCCCGGGGTCACGCCCTAGGCTAAAGGCGGCGCTAAATCGCTGAGCCGCTGGGGCTGTCCGCATTATTTTTCCGTATATTGATTTTCATTCCTTTTTTTTTTTTTAAGATTTTTTTATTTATTTATTTATTTATTTATTTATTTATTTATTCATTCATTCATTCATTCATTCATTCATTCCTTCATTCATTCATTTGAGACACAGAGGGTGAGGCAGAGAGATAGACTAAGGGAGTAGCAGGCTCCCCGCAGGAAGCCCGATGCAGGACTCGATCCCTGGACCAGGATCACACCCTGAGCCGAAGGCAGACACTCAACCGCTGAGCCACCCAGGCGTCCCTCATTCTATTTTTTATAGTAGTCCAGTGTTTATTTGTTCTTTATTGATAAATTCAAAATAATAAAGCAACTTCTCAAGATTGTGATGAAAATTAAATAATGATTTGGAGATCACTTGGCATAGAGAAGTCATTTGACAAATATTTGTTCCTTTTCCTCTAAATAAGACAGCCCTTCAAACATTTGGACAATTCACCTGAAGCCTATATTCTCTGGTCTTTGATTATTTTTCATTTGGTCTAACTTGTAGACATTCTTATCATCCTGATTATTTTTTCTTAGGTTTATTTCATTGTATAAGTGTGTTTTCTACACTTGAACACTAGAATCCAAACATTGTTGAGTCAATGTATACTTAAGTGGCCCTCTCTTTTAAAAATTCTCCCATTATCATTCTACCAGTGTTGCCCACGATTGCATATACTATTTAGCATCTCAATTCAATGTCTCTTTTACATAGATTATGGTTAAGAGAAATCTGAATCACTTTTTTGTAAGTATTGCTCTTCTGTCAAGCTTTTTCCATCTTTTGCTTGTATAATTAAGTTATTTAAACCTAAGTGTAGGATTTCAACTTGTCATGTTTCTGAATCTTTTCATGTAACATGGTTCACTAGGTTTTTCACGTAAATTAAATACTTAACTTTCTAGATCCTTATGTAAACTACTTATAATGTGATAACCAGTAATGGAAAACCCCATACTTTGCTAGCAGAGATTTTTTTCCCTTTCAGTTTTAGTTACTCCATTGATTAGTACTTTTTTTTATTTTTTAATTTTTTAATTTTATTTTTTATTTTTTTATTTTTATTTATTTATGATAGTCACAGAGAGAGAGAGAGAGAGAGGGGCAGAGACACAGGCAGAGGGAGAAGCAGGCTCCATGCACTGGGAGCCCGATGTGGGATTCAATCCTGGGTCTTCAGGATCGCACCCTGGGCCAAAGGCAGGCGCCAAACCGCTGCGCCACCCAGGGATCCCTTGATTAGTACTTTTAGCTGTGGTTGCTCTACTTGATAACATTTTGCTTCTAGTCTGTCCTTAACATACGTATGTTTATTAAACAAAAAGTCACCATTTATTGAGTTCTAGTTACTGTTCTAAGAACTATACATTTATGCTTTCATTAAGTTTTCTGATAACACTACAGAAAGGTACTGATTGTTGCCATTTCCATTTCACACATGAAAAGTGGGCTGAGAGCTTGATACTTTCCAAAGTACATAGCTAGTTAGAGGTAGACCAGGGTTTTTAACTTTGGTTTATCTGCTATATCAAGCCTATATTCTTAACCAGGACTATATTGCTTACTGTGTTACCAGTATAAGAATAAGTGAATGACATAGATATGGTCCTTGTCTTCCCAGAGCTTATCTTGTAGAGAGAGGGAGAAAAACATGCTATTATTGTATATTACAGTAAATGCTATGAAGGGGGAAATACAGAGTGCTGTGATAGCATTAAAGCAAACCTAACTAAATTTGGGGGTGGAGGGATCTTAAAGGAAGACTTTCTAGAGTGTCGGATTAACTAGATGACGCCAGCAGGGTGATAGTAAAAAGTGTGTTGCCTATCATGGGCTTTAATTTTCTCATAACAGTAATAATTTTCCATTTGATCATTCACTCTGATGATATAGGTTATATTAACAACTCTTTATTGAGCATGTACTATATACCAGGACTTTTACATCATATTTTCACATCAACTATGCTAAGTTTGTTAGCTACCTTTGTATAAAGTGATACTAAGAGAGGGTTAGTAATTTTCCCCAAGTTATATAGTTATGAAATGATCCAGGACATAAAAAAACAAACAAACAAGTTTTATCATGTTTAAAGCCATTGAAAGCTTCTTTTGACTAGCCCATATACCATCCAATCTAAGCCAAATAGGGTTCTAGCCCTTTATTTCCATTAGGACATCTGCCCTTAGCAATGGGTATATTCCTTTCATGTTCTTAATTTAAATGTGTATTTATAAAGAAGATAAAGTTTGCACTGTTCTTAACAGGGCGGCTTTCCCCCTTCCTCTCCAATAGCTTTAGTCCTTTTCCCCCCCTAATCTTTATTGTACTGTACTTTGCTTGGTGGTAATCCTTGTTTTCAGATGTTTGAAGCCTATTAGTTCCCTATATAGATGCATAGTAGTATTGAGATAGATGAGTGTCAAAGCCTTAATCCTTTAGATGTCTTGCATTTTAAAAAAAATTAGGTTTTGAGTTTTGGAAAGCTATCAGTCACCAAAATAGTTTTTTGAGACTTTTATTATCCTTTTATTAACACTGATTATTGAAAGAAATAGTGGTCAACAAAACGTTTTTGTTTAAAAGAATAATTAGGTTATTAAAATAGGTACCTGTTTTAATGATGACTAAATTTATTAAAGTTAGGTCAGTTTAAAATATTTTTAGAGAAGAAAGCAGTATCTGAATAATTATCCCCAAATATTTGTTTGAGGCAGTACTTAAATTATCTTTCTCTCTCCTCATTTAAAAAAAAAGTTGATAATTCTGGTAGAATTTGAAAGCAGAAGTATTAAAGATTGAGAAGAACAACATAGGGGTTTTAATTAATTGGGACAAGTCTCCTGTTTTACCTTTTTAGAGTGGGAGAATCTTGTGCCTCTGTTGTTGGAACCACCAGCCACTAGGTGGTGCTTTTTGCATTCTTCATAGCATAAAACAACTTGTTTTTCTTCTGGTGACTATCAGGTATATTGGCTATAGTATTTAGCAAATTTAAAATTTTATTGACAAATACAATGTAAGAAATCAGAACTAATATGTTCTTCTTGCTGAGCCAAATAGATAATTATTCAAAGAAGGAAGAGTTCATTACTGAATCTGTTGGTAATCATTGAGCTTTAGTATAGTCTGTTTCCTTCTAATGCTTTGGCTATGGTGTCAGATAGTTACCTGCAACTGCCCATGATTGGGTGCTGGGGTTATTTGAGGCCCTGCATATACAGAACCTCTGGGCTTGCACTTCTCAGTTATAAGCATTGCATTTTTCTTTGGGTGCTTACTTCAGTCCTTATCTGAAATTGTCTTCTAGATTCTCTAAGGTTCCAAGAAAAGATGACCTTATTTACAAAGGTTTTCTCCCCCCGCCCCTTATAAGTTATAATAGAAGAAATGAAAATATTTATTTGAAATATCCTTCCTTAAGGCATTTCCCCCTTTTTTTCTGTTATTTCCATTACCTGTAGTATTCTGTGTGTCCAGCTAACTCACCTTAACCTCTGCCTTGTATTTCATAAAGAATCTACATTTTGCAGTTTCTTCACTTTTATTCTGGTGGCTTTTCAGCCTAATCTGTTTTATCCAATTGTTTAAGAAGAGTTAAGCTTAATTTTCATAATTTTAAATTTGCATGATGTGCATATATTAGGTTTTCTCGTGTTAAACAGTACAGGTTCCTCTTTGTGGTACTGAAGTTCTTTAAAGGCCATATGTTTATTTTTTAAAGATTTTATTTATTCATAAGAGACACAAAGAGGCAGAGACATAAGCAGAGGGAGAAGCAGGCTCCATGTAGGGACCCTGATGTGGGACTCGATCCCAGGACTCCCAAGATCACACCCTGAGCCAAAGGCAGATGCTCAACCACTGAGCCACCCAGGTGTCCCTAAAGGCTGTATGGTTTGCTTTTTTTCTTTTTTTTTAAGATTTTATTTATTCATGAGAGACAGAGAGAGAGAGAGAGAGAGAGAGAGAGAGAGAGAGAAAGGCAGAGACACAGGCAGAGGGAGAAGCAGGCTCTTTGCAGGGAGCCCAACGTGGGACACTCGATCCCAGGTCTCCAGGATCAGGCCCTGGGCTGAAGGTGGCGCTAAACCGCAGAGCCACCTGGGCTGCCCCAAGGCCATATGTTTAAATGCTTTCTTTAACTAGTTCATATCATTCAAGAAACCAAAATACTCTTAGGGTTCAAGGGACTAGCCTAATCTATTTCATGAATAGTAAGATAGTCTTGCTTAATTATTGACTGGCTGTATGTTGATTTGGGACCCTTTACATTTGGCTAAGAATCCTAAGTTTATTTTCCTAGGTTCTCCATTTTATCATAAATCAAAGAATAGTACCCATCTCTTTGGAAAAGTTATTTTCTCTGACAGAGGCTTCAGCTTCATTGAGCCATCTGAGGGAGGCTGAAGCATTTACCTTGACAGTCATGACCAACCCTTCTATCATAGGGTTTTACCTTATAGTTTTAGGACATGTAGAAGTCTAATGGGGATTTGTATTTTTCCAGGTCATTAAAATGACATTTGTGAATTTAGAATTGGCTTAGTTTTGTTACAAAAAAGAATCAGTATTAAGATTTGGCATTCTTATTTTCAAACTAGGTAATAAAATAGACTTGGAAAAGGAGAGACATGTTTCCATTCAAGAAGCAGAATCGTAAGTGTTCTCCCTTTCCCTCCCTCTAGTCACTCTTTCTCTTTGCACAGTGTGCTTTACTATTTAGGTATTACTCAAACCTCTTAATATAATATGAGCTATTGGATTCAGTGAAGCAAATTTACATTGGTAATTTCTGGACTTTTGACAACATTTAAAAATATTCCATTCTCACTTCCTTTTTGATTTTAGTAAAAAATGTAAAGAGTGATGCAAAAGAAAACTATCATAATCAAATAGTCACAAAAACTTTTAAAGTGTTTGGGTTCCAAATTAAAAATTTCAAGTGTTGTAATCCTTATGTTCTTATGTAAAATTTGGTTCAGTGTATCTTAATTTCACTAAATATGGATTAATTAGTAAAAGTCACTAAAATCGCTACTTAAAAAATTCAAATAGTTATGACAAAAATATGAAAATTTTTTGTATCAATCACTGGTGTTACTTTTTTTTAAGGTATGCAGAATCTGTGGGAGCAAAGCATTATCATACTTCAGCCAAACAGAACAAAGGAATTGAAGAACTCTTTCTTGACCTTTGTAAAAGTAAGTATACTCAGATTTTACATATTTAGAAAAATAGCTCTTTTAAAAATATCAGTAATATTTTTCAAGTGATATTTTGTAGTCTCAGTGATACATTGAGGATTTGTCACATCTACCAGTATTATTATTTAATATTTTTTCTTAAACTCATTTTTTAAAGCTTAAATACCTACTTTAGCTTTGTTTCAAGCAGTAGTTAATGGATATGAAATCGTGAAATCATTGGATAGGGTATGTGCTAAATACACATTAAAATTAAACGCATAACTATCAAAAATAAAAATAGAATACAAAAACTTAAGAGATGTAGCAACTTGCTGCAGTGGAGGTTATTTCAATCCTGATTTGAGAAAGTAGTGAACAAGAACATTTGTCAGACAGTGGGGACTATATGAATACTCACTGGTATATACCATTTGATGGTATTAAGAAGTTATTAAGGGGTACCTGGACCCTAATTTCAGTCAGTAAAGCATGTGACTTGATCTCTGGGTCATGAGTTCAAGCCCCACATTGAGCATAGAGCTTACTTTCAGAAGATAAATAAAAATAGTAGAGCAAATATATTAAAAAGTTATTGAGGTTCTGGTTCAAATGGTCACATCAGATCTTCAACTTCTCCCGTGGACACACTTGAGTCTAAAGCTACATATGGAAGAACTTCCTCTTTAAAAAACCTGAAGGTTGGCTGAATGACAACTATATATTGGACAAACAAGAAGAAAACTACATCAAGGAGATGGAAGAGTACGTAACACAATCTTGCCATAAGCCCCGTCCTTGGTGTGGTGACCCACAACCAGAAGAGAACTCAAAACCCATAGCTTCTTCCTAAGGAGTAAAGAATTTGAACCTCACAATGGGCATCACTAACTTTTAAGTTGTCAATGAGAGATGATTCGCCCATCTAACTTTGAAAACTAGTGTGGCTCACATCCCAAGACCCACAAGACTGAAGCAGTCTGAAAAACTGCTCTTAAGGGCTTGCATGGAGACTTATTTGCCCCAGGTCCCAGCTCAGAGGCAGCTGATCACACCAAATGAGGGAGGCTCACCTGCTTATATTAAAGGCATCACACATCTAGAAGCCTGCTAGTGGAATACTATTTTAGGATGGAGATTGGCAGGCACCATCTTCCTGGTCTCCCTTTGCTGTATTTCTCCTTTGCTGTGTTCTGGAGCACCTGTATCCCCTGGAGAGGAGCTTTTATACACATTTGGCGCCCCGGTTTTTGCAGCTGCCATGTAGGAAACACATCTTGATCATTTGACCTGTAGGCCAGGGGAGCTTGTATTCTTGGTCCTATTGGATTATTATATCTGATGTTACTCAAAAAGGAGCTCATACGCCTGTCTGGCACTCCTGATTCTTGTGACTGCTACCAGAGGGCATCTCTACATTACCTGGCTCTAGTGGCCAATGGGGCCTTATGTTCATGGGTCCTATGGGACTGTAACCAATAGAGAAAGAGTTCTTAACTACTATCCATAGGGCACAGCATGAAGGAAGAGACCCACAAGCTCAATTTTTCTGTTATGGACACTTGTTAGCTAATCATCATGACTATGGCCTGAGGGACAAGTTTCAGGTTTGGAACACATTTAGTGGCCTATAGAGCTGCTTTCAAGGACCGTAGGCTCTGGGCACCGTCTTGGTGCTCTTCTTCTACCTTATTCTAGCTTGCTTGTATCACCTAGGAAAGAGCTTATACATTTGTCTAGAGCCATAATTTTTGTGACTGCTGTCCAGGGGCACCTCCAGATCACCTGGTCTTGGTGGCCAGTGGGGCTTATGATTGCAGTCCCATAGGACCATATATTTGCATGCTTTTGAGTATTTTTTGTTTAAGAGTTTATTTGAGAGAGAAAGCACAAGTGGGGAGAGGGACTGAGGGAGAGAAGAGTGAGAATCCCAGACTGCACTGAGCATGGAGCCCTACACAGGGCTGGATCCCATGACCCTGAGATGATGACCTGAGCTGAAACGCAGAGTCAGAGGCTCAACTCAACTGAGCCACACAGACACCCTTATTTTTGCGTACTTTTGAAACTGATGCCTAAAGATCGGGCTTCCAGTCACTCTGAATTAGGTGCTGAGATTCTCCCCTTTGGGACGTTGATAGGTCTTGGGACATCCTCAACTACTTGGAGCTATTAAAAATATAATAGGCTGCTTGGACAAGCAGCTTGCTCCATTTACTCTATAGAAAGCAACATGGAGAGTCACACAAAAAGAAGAAATGGGAGTATGTTCCAAATGAGAGAACAAGATAAAAACCTCAGGAAAAACCTTAATTAAAACAGAGATAAGTAATTTACCTGAAGTAGTTCAAGGTAATGGTTATAAAAATGATCACTGAAATGAGGAGAAGAATGGATGAACATAGTGAGAACTTCAACAGATGGAAAATAGAAGAAAGTACCAAAAAGAAGTCACAGAGCTGAAGAATATAATAACTGAACGGAAAAATTCACTAGAGGTGTTGAACATCAGATTAGATGAATCAGAAGAAACGATCAGTCATCTGAAAGACAAGGCAGTGCCACTCACCCAATCAGAGCATTAAAAAGAAAAGGGTAAGGAAAAAAATGTAAGAAGTGAAGATAGCTTAAGGGTCTTAACAGGACAACATTAAACAGTCTAATATTTGCATCCTGGGGATCCCAGGAAAAGAGATAAAGAGGCAGAAATCTTATTTGAAAAAATAGTGGCTAAAAACTTTCCCAGCGTGAGTAAGGAAACAGGCATCCAAGTCTAGGAAGCCTAGAGTTCCAAATAAGAGGAACCTAAAGAGATCCACACCAAAGATACATTTGTAATTAAAGTGTCAAAAATAAAGAAGATAAGGAGATAATATTAAAAGCAGAGGAGAAAAACTTGTTACATACAAGGGAAACCCCTATAAGATTACAGCAGATCTTTCAGCAGTAGTTTTGCAGGCCAGAGGGGATGGCATGATATATTCAAAGTGCTGAAAGAAAAAAAACTTGAAACCAAGAATTCTCTACCTGACAAAATTATCATTCAGAAGGGAAGAAAAATAATTTTCCAGACAAGCAAAAGCTAAAGTTTATCATCACCAAACTTGCCTTAAAGATCTGTTAGAGAGACTTCTTTCCTTAAAAGAAAGGGTACTAATTAGTAACGAGAGCACACATGAGAGAAATCTCACTGGAAAGTAAATATCTAGTAAAGGTGGGATATTAATTGATTGTAAAGCTAGTATGAAAGTTAGAAGACAAAAGTAGTAAAAATAACCATATTTACAATAATTAATTGAGGGATACATAAGATGAAATGATGTAAAATGTATCAAAAACATAAAACATTGGTTAGGGGAGTAATAATGTTAAGTGGGATCAACTTAAAATAGATTGGTATAAGTTGTTTTATGTAAGCCTCATGTAACTACAAAGCAAAAACCGTACAAAAGATAAAAAGAATAGAAGCATACCACTGAAGTAGGTCATCATCAAAGGAAGAGAGAGCAAGAGAAGAAGAAAGAAAAAGGAATTATAAAAATTGCTAGAATACAAAATGGCAGTAAACACATACCTATAATTACTTTAAATATAAATGGACTAAATTCTCCAGTCAAAAGACAGAGTGACTGAATGGATTAAAAAAACCAAGACCTATCTATATGCTGCCTTATAAGAGACTCAGGTTAGATATAAGGACACACAGAGACTGAAAGTGAAGGGATGGAAGATGTTCCATGCAAATGGAAACCAGAAGACACTTGGAGTAGCTATTATTACATCAGACAAAATAGACTTTAAAACAAAGACTGTAATGAGAGACAAAGAACTACATTACATAATGATAAAGGAGTCAAGCCAACAAGAAGATACATTTGTAATACTTGTGTACCCAACACAGGAGAACCTATATATATGAAGCAAATACTAACCAACCTAAGGGAAGAAATAGCAATACAAATAATGGGAGGGGGACTTTAGTACCCTGCTTACATCAGTGGATTATGCTGACAGAAAAGCAGTAAGGAAACACTGGCCTGAAATGACATGTTAAATCTGATGGACTTAACAGATAGTTACAGAACATTCTATCCAAAAACAATGGAATACACATTTTTCCCAAGTGCACAATGGAACATCTTATCAGTTGTATGTTAAGCCATAAAACAAGTCTTAATAAATTCAAGAGAATTAAAATCATATCAAGCATCTTTTCCAAACACAATGGCATAAAGCTAGAAATTAATTACACAAAGAAAACTGAAAATTTCATGAATATGTGGAGATGAAAAAACATTATACTGAACAACCAGCAAGTCGAAGAAGAAATCAAAAGAGAAATTAAAACATACCTTGAGATAAACAAAAATATAAGCATAACATACCAACGTTTATGGGATGCAGCAAAAGCTGTATTGAGAGAGAATTTCAGGGGTACCTGGCTGGCTCAGTCAGTACTGTGTGAAACTCTTGATCTCAGGGTTGTGAGTTCAAGCCCTATGTTGGGTATAGAGATTACTTAATAAAATCTTTTTTAAAAAATGAGGGAAGTTCATAGTGATACCTAACTCAGGAATTAAAAAAAAGTCTCAAATGGGGCACCTGCATGGCACAATTGAAAGAGCATGTGACTCTTGATCTCTGAGTCATGAAGTCAAGTCCCATGTTGAGTGTAGAGATTACTAAAAAAAAGTAAATAAAACTTTAAAAAAAGTCTCAAACAACATAACTTTATTATATCTCAAGGAATGAGAAAAAGAACAAAATTAGAATAAGAAAGGGAACAACAAGGATCAGAGCAGAAATAAATAAAATAGATACCAAAAGAGTATTAGAAAGGATTGATGAAACTAGCTGGTTCTTTAAGAAGATAAAATTGAAAAAAACTAGGTAGCCTTACCAAGAAAAAGGGAGGATTCAAAATCAGAAATGAAAGCAAAGACTTTACAACTGGTAACACAGAAATACATAGGATCATAAGATACTGCTGTGAACAATTATATACTAATAAATTGGACACCCTAGAAGAAATGGATAAATACTAATATTGAATCATAATGAAACATAAAATCTGAACAGACTGATTACTAGTAAGGTGATTGAATCAGTAATGCAAAACTTGCCGACAGAAATCCAGGATCAGATGGCTTCATGGTGAATTCTGCTGAACATTCAAAGAAGAATTAATACCAGTCCTTCTCAAATTCTTACATAGTAGAAGAAGGAACTCTTCCAAATTTATTTTACAAGACTAGCATTACCCTGGTACCAGTGCCAGACAAGGACACTACAAGAAAAGTAAAGATAGACCAGTGTCCTTGATGAACATAGATGCAAAAATCCTCAACAAAATATTAGCAAACTGAATTCAACAATATATTAAAAAGACCACATACACCATGATGAAATGGGATTTATCCCAGGGATGCAAGGATAGTTCGACATCTACAACTTCATCATTGTGATATATACTATATTAACAAAATGATTTATACCATATAAAATCATATGATCATCTCAATAGATGCAGAAAAAGCATTTGACAAAATTCAACATGCATTTATGATAAAAACGAAGTGGATATAGAGGGAATATACCTCAATATAAAGGTTATATGCAAAGAGCTCAGCGCTAGCATCATACTCAGTGGAGAAAAGGTGAAGGCTTCTCCTTTAAGACCAGGAGTAAGACAAGGAGGCTCACTCTCACCACTTTAATTCTGCTTAACATAGTATTGGAAGTCCCTAGTCAGAGCAGTTAGGCAAGGAAAACAAAAAGACACACAGATTGGAAAGGAAAGAAGTAAAACTGTCAGTACTTACAGATGATATTATATGTCAAAATCCTAAAGAAAATCCTAAACACTACCATCAAGAAACTGTTAGAACTAATAAATAAATTTGGTTCATTGAAGGATACAAGAAATCAACATGTAGAAACTTTTCACAGAAAGAGAACACACAATCCTAAAATTTGTATAGAACTGTAAAAGACCCTGAATAGCCAAAGCAATCTTGAGATGAACAAAGCTAACAGCATCATGCTCCCTGATTTCAAACTGTATTACAGAGCTATAGTAAAACAGTGTGGTATTGACATAAAAACAGACAGATCAGTGGAACAGAATACAGAGCCCAGAAAGAAACCCATGCGTATACGGTCAGTTAACTTATGACAAAGAAGCCAAGAGTATACAACGGGGAAAGGATAGTCTCTTCAATAAATGATGTTGGGGAAATTGGACAGCCACATGCAAAAGAATGAACCTGGACCACTATCTTACACCATACACAAAAATTAAATGGATTGAAAACTTGAACCTGAAACCCCTAGAAGAAAACACAGGTAGTAAGCTCCTTGACATAGGTCTTAGCAAGTACTTTTTAAATCTGACAGCAAAAGCAAAAGCAACAAAAGCAAAAATAAACAAGTGAACTATATCAAACTAAAAAGTTTCTGTCCAGCAAAGGAAACCATCAATAAAATGAAAAGGCATCTTACTGAATGGGAGAAAATATTTGCAAATCATGTGTCTGTAAGGGGCTAATATCCAAAATCTATAAAGAACTCCTACAACAACAAAAAAGAGAACTCCTACAATGTAATGGGAAAAAACCCCACAGACAATCTAATTAAAAAATTGGTCAAAGATCCGTCAGTAGGAACATGAAAAGAGGTTCTGCATCATTAATTATCAGGGAAATGCAAATCAAAACTACAGTGAAATAAGTTAGTACTTCATGTCTGTTAGAATGGCTCGTATCAAAAAAGGCAAGAAACAACAAGTGTTGGTGAGGATGTGAAGAAAAGGGAACCCTTGTGCACTGTTGGTAGGAATGTAAATTTGTTTGGCCACTATGGAAAACAGTACAGAGGGAGGGTCTTCAAAAAATTTAAAATGGAACCGCAATATGATTCAGCAGTTCTACTTCTGGATATTTAGCCAAAGAAAACAGAAACACTAATTTGGAAAGTTAAACCTTACTCACTGCAGCATTATTTACAATAGCCAAGCTATGGAAACAACCTAAGTTTCCATCAATGGGTGAATGAATAAAGAAAATGTGGTGTATTATATACACAGCAGAATATTATTCAGCTGTAAAAAAGAATGAAATCTTGTCATTTCTGACAACATGGATGGACCTTAAGAGTATTATCCTAAATGAAATAGGTCAGAAAAAGATAAATAACATATGATTCTTCTTACTTGTGGAATCTAAAAATGAATAAATACAACCAATCTAATAGATACAGAGAACGCATTGGTGGTTGCCAGAAGCAGCGATTTGGGGGGTGGGAGAAATGGGTGAAGTGTTTTGTTTGCTTTTAGTTTAAATAAATTGAATTATTTATTTTAAAGGTTATTGTAAAATTTTTAAGGTATTACGGTGTTGTGGTTATACTTTTTTTTTAAGTTCTTTTTTTTTTAAAAAGTCTTTATATGTTAGAGATCATATTAAAATAATAATATGAATAAAATTATGTGTCTAAAATCTGATTCCAAATAATAGCAGAGGAGTGCCTAGGTGGCACAGTTGGTTAAGTGTTTGCCTTTGGCTCAGGTCATGATCCCAAGGTCGGGGGATCAAATCCCACATCGGGTTCTCCATAGCAGAGAATCTACTTCTCCCTCTCCCCCTCCCTTCCTCCCTGCTCATGCTCTCTCTCAAATAAATAAATAAAATCTTAAAAAACAAAAAGATACCAAAATAATGGTAAAGATGCTTATTTAGTATAGATGGAATTGTGTGATGGACATAATGCATTTTTATTATGCTGTTTTTTCTACTTTTATATGTATTTGAAGTTTTTCATATTAGAAAGTTTTCTAAAAGAGTTAATCACCAATAGAATATATACCATACTTAGGAAAACCCTAGTTTATGGAACAATAAATAGGTTATTCTATATAGAATAATAGAAATGATTTTGTCGAATTATATATTTTTTTAAAAAGATTTTATTTATTTATTTATTGAGAGACACAGAGAGAGAGCGAGGCAGAGACACAGGCAGAGGGAGAAGCAGGCCCCATGCATGGAGCCTGACATGGGACTCGATCCTGGGTCTCCAGGATCAGGCCCTGGGCCGAAGGTGGCGCTAAATCTCTGAGCCCCCCGGGCTGCCCAAATTATATTTCTTGAATTTATGGACCTCACAGTCTTCTGAGAATTTGATAAAAGTGTGGTTTTTGTTTCTAGGAAAATTTACTTATACATAAACTCCAGAATTTCAGTTTTACAAAAACCTGAAGGTCATTCATAATTTTTATAGACCTTTACTTCTCTAAGTGAGGTCCCCTGATCAGCAGCAGCAGCATCACTTGAGAATATGTTAGAAATGCAGATTCTTGAGCCCTACCCAAACCAACTGAATCAGAACTTCTGGAGGTGGTGCCTAGACTCTGTTTTAACAATCCTTCCATAAGATTGTGGTGCACACTAAATTTGAGAAGTTATTTCTATTTTCGCTGCTTGTACATTCCTATAAATCATTTGGAGATCTTGTTAAAATGCATATTTGATAGAATGGGTCTGGTGCGAGCCTAAGCTTTTCATTTCTAACAGGCACCCACATGGTCATGATGCTTGCTGGTCCTGAGACTGTACTTTGAGTACCAAGGTTCTAGATCCATAGCTTAGAAATGTTACAAATCTCAGGACGCCTGGGTGGCTCAGCAGTTGAGCATCTGCCTTAGGCTCAGGATGTGATCCTGGAGTCCCGGGATCGAGTCCCACGTCGGGCTCCCTGCGTGGAGCCTGCTTCTCCTTCTGCTTGTGTCTCTGCCTCTCTGTCTCTCATGAATAAATAAATAAAATCTTTTTTAAAAAATAAGAAATGTTATAAACCTCATGTAATTTTTTTAAGATTTCAAAAAATTTATTTGAGATAGAACATTATGAATGTGTGAGCAGGGGGAGGGGCCGAGGGAGAGAGAGAGAATCCCAAGTAGACTCTGCACTGAGTGTGGAGCCCAACACAGGATTCAGTCTCACAATCCTGAGATCATGACTGGAGCCAAAGTGAAGAGTTGAACACTTAACTGACTGAGCCACCTAGGCACCCCTAAATCTCCTGTCTTTATAGACAAAAATTTGAATATTTCCCATGTTTATTTAAAACTCATAAAACATATACACATACTAACATGTTTTGTACATTTTTATAAAACATAAATTTTGAAAGGTGAGGAATAATAAAAATAAATTAGAATTTGAGGGTGTTTTCCAATTTCATCTTACTGGATTTTCCTGTACACCTCAATTTGAAAACATTGTTCAAGAACAGTCTCTGGACCCAAGTTTGAGAACTGTTCTAAAGACTCCTTCTTTTCTTTCATCATCTTTTCAGATACGTATTTTGTGGATATTTACTCCTAATCTGTGTCTTATATTTTAATTTTTAAACTGTGTCTTTCAGAGCAGAAGTTCTAAATTTTATTTTATAAATAAATCTTTAAGTCAAATAGTCTGAGTCCTCCAGCTTCGTTCTTCCTCATCTTAAACTGTTTCATTCTTTCAAATATTATTTGCTTAAAATATTACACTACTAGTTGAAGAATAACTATTGGTCCCTAAATATTAGCTGCACTTGGAATAATTTGAACTTTGGCATGTTGCTAAGTATATGTAGAAAATCTTAAGGACTATACTTGTATATAGTCATTTGTTCAAGGCAAAAACTTTGTTCTCTTGATCAATGTCCCTGTAGCCATTATGCAACTGGACAAATACAGTTGCTATTAATAATTTTTAATTTGCAGGAAAAGCTATTTAGTGAGCTAACAAAATGTTTATTATATTTAGTTTCCTTGTTGGTTGAAGTCAGACATGGCTATCATGGTGGTATACAGAAATCATAGAAAGAAAAAACTCGTAGATTGTGGCCCTAAATAATTTGTTTCCTCCCTCTCTTAGGGATGATAGAAACAGCACAAGTGGATGAGCGAGCAAAAGGCAATGGCTCTAGTCAACCAGGAGCTGCAAGGCGAGGTGTACAAATTATTGATGATGAACCTCAAGCCCAGAGCAGTGGTGGAGGGTGCTGTTCTTCTGGATAACTGTTCACACTTAAGAAATTAAACAAACTGTGGATCATTGCCCTCAACATGAAGACTGCCATATTCCAAGTCACATTATTTTACCAATGGAATTATAGATTAACAGTATTTTAAATTACGTTTATAACACTGCAGAGACCTTAAGTGCTAAACTTAGTGGAGTTTGTGACCAGAGAATTGGCATTTTTCTACAAATGTTAACAAAGCAATTACCAATGGCCTTTTTACATATTTTTTCTTTAATAAGGAATAATATGCATGTAGAAAAAGACCTACTTAAAGGCTTCATTTATATTCTTTTAAATCAAATCTTTATTTAATAACTTATATATGTTGTTGGAATGGTATACATTTTTGCAGCCCTTTGTATTTTGTGGTAGTTTGAATTGTATCACTTCTAAATGGCAAACTGTTTTTTTGTTTTTGTTTTTGTTTTTGTTTTTTTTTAATTAGATACCTGAAGTACTATTTTTGCAGGGTTTGCACAGGCCCCTTAACTGTCTACTACTTTGATATAATCTATATACAACCTGTATGCTGAGCTGGTAAAATACATTGTAAAATTACATATTAAATACTCTATCTGCTTTTACAAGCGCAAGGTGCAAAAATATATACGATAGTCTCATTGATGACTGTAAAGTGAATTAACATTTGGTGATAATGCCTAAGCTTTTTGACTCTGACATAAAGATCATAGCTCCCCTTCACTTTTGTCTTAACTTGAAAGTGACGTGTTTAAATTTTCACATATACTTTACTTGAATTATTGCTGTTGTCATATTTTTTTTGCCTCTTGTAAGTCTTTCTGATGATTGAACAACAGCATTTGCCTTTTGGTTTGTTGGGGTTTTTTTGTTTTGTTTTTTGTTCTGGGGGGGATTTTTTTGGTTAAAAGAGATGAATTCTGATTTTGTTTTAGAGTGGTTGCCTTAGAAGTATTTGAGTGGAGCATGCTGAGTTTCACTTCTGCAATGGCTTTAGTTTTCTCTTAGACTTTATGTGAGATGGGTTCACTGGTGTGAGAAGAAAGGAAGAGGTCACAGTGAGTTGCCACTCGCCAAGACTGATTCACAGCATGTTAGTGGGTAGTTTATTCTCCTGGGGCAGCACTTTTAAATCCTCTGTGAGCAAATTGTATGTGTTCATTGCTTGCCAGAGATGAACACAGAAAAGTTTGTTCCATTTAATAAGAGCTGTCATTCTGAGTTTCTGTGAAGGGAAACATTTCATGTAATGCGGTTATAGCGAACACTGGAAAGATTTATTATAAAATTATATTCTTGTATACTTTGTAAATTAGTCTCATTAGGTTTTTTTTTTTCCTTAAGCATAGGACTGAACTTAAATTTGTTAATTTTAATAGAATCAGACACTGCTCATAGAAGGATCACAAATTATGGAGATTAACATAAATTGTTCTTGTTCTAATATATATATTTTTCCATTTCTGTCATGCTTGGAAAACTAGTAAATGTTATGTCTAAGATAAAATGGAATGGTCCCTGGATTTACTTCTTAAAAGAAGCAGTGGTATGCAATAAAGTTGTTAGCATGAGCAATTAAGACGATATAAAGAAGTTACAGTTACTAAAGAAGTACTGCCATATTTTTAAATTCATAGCTTAAACTTTCGCAAATGGGTTTAAAGTTGGATTGACAGCTTGATGTTAGAATTTTGACTTAGTATTAAGTGTTCTGTGAGCCCTCACTTCACCTTCTTTAGTTACTCTCCTTGCCAGTCTCAACACACTGATCTCTGTTGTGTGTGTTTGGGGAGGGTGGGGCGGTAAGAGTTAGGGAGATAAGCTAAAATTGTTTTTTTTTTTTTTATCAGATGATTGTACTCTGTATAATATCTCCGTTTCCTGTGAAGTTTGTGTTTATGCAGGGCAGCAGGGGAGACGAGGGGAATCATGAGTACAAATACAGGAAAAATTGTTTTTGTGCAGCCCCGCCCCCCCCCCGGCTGGTTCTTCCACAGATTGTAAAGAAAGCCTTGCCATTTTTATGATTATACATGTAGATGGAAAATAAGCTCTTCTTAGGAGTGGAATGTTTTTTAAATTAATTAGAGATGAATATGAGATTTTTTTCCAAAAAGTAGTCATAAGGCCTGATAATTGGCGAGTTGTACTCTAGGTTTTTGATGCTTATATTAATGATAAATTAAGTCCAGATAGGAACCTCTGCTCCAGAGTTGCCAGATAATTATTGATGGGGTACAACCACTCTCCGTATTTTTTTTTCTTTGCTCTCCCTTGGTTTCTGTGTATCTTTCTAAACCTCAAGCATTTCTTCTTATTTTGACCTGTAGTTTAAGCTGACTCAATAGCACCAATAAATAATATGAAATATGTGTCCTTGCTCTGAAGTGTGAGAGGTCTTTAGGTAGGAATAGGATAAAAGAGGACCAGGCAGTTGCAGTATGCGCATAAAGGAGAGAGAAAGAGATGATAAACTAAGGCTGAGGAAATTGCTCTGATACTTTCTTCACCTCTAACATATCTTTTGTGTTCCTGCCCTTATACATTGTGCTATTAGGAAGAAGACACACGTTACTGTATTGTGTATTAAAAGTAGTAGGTAGGTAGAACCAATATATTTTTCAACTAAGTAAGTGTATACACTTAGTATATATAATTAAAAATTGGTATAAGATAGTCATTAAAAATACCTGAATATTATGTTAAAAGTATACAATCATTGTTTCTGTAATGATGATGGATATTCAGCATCTTGTTCTGCTTTGTGATTATAGAGGAAAATACTGTTTTTAAAAATGTATATTGCAGCAGTTTTGGGGTAAACAGCAATCTGAAAAAAAAGCATCACGTTATTGTATGAAATATGAGTGTTCGAATTTGTTTTGTTCTGGGGATATCTCCTGAAAGTGCCCTAAAGTTATGGATGTTACAGCTAAATTTAAGTCTTTTTTTTTTTGTAATATTAGCCATATGTTATTAGTGATTGCTTTTTATTTGGCATTAAAGTGAAAAAGAAGAGTGATACAGGTTTTCAGTAAGAAAAGATAAAATTTGGGAAATATGAAAGGAGGGTAGTGAGGAGAATGAAGTCAGGTAGATCTGAAACTCTACAACCTGACATTTTTATAATCGTTTTGAAAATACATTATCAAGTCGTTTCTAAATAAGGCAAGTTACGCATTGTGCCAAATACTTAGAACATATAAAAAAATGAATTGTGATACTATGTCTTTTAATATATAATTTGCGATTTTCTATATTAAAATGCTACAAGGAGTCTATGTCATTGATGTTATCTCCAAATAATAGAATTTATCCTTATTACCACTTATATTATCTCCAGAAGTGGTTTGATCTGTGCCTTTAACATTTGAAATTCGTCTTTTGACTTCTGTTTACCATTAACAGTTTTCTTTATAGATGCAGTGAGTCAGAGAGGGAGTGCTGTGCCACATACTCCGTAACCATGGAAGATGTTGAGCTCTTCTAGAAAAGGGTGTAGATGGTTGCAACCAGCAAAGATACAGAGACTTAAGTAGATTTTCTTTCTTTTCTGAATCACAAAACGTGTTACCTAGATTTTAATAACTACAAGCTGGGCTTCATTGAATACATGCATTTACTTGATTTCATAATAGGCATTGGTTCTAGTTTGTTGCTGTTCTGTAATTTTCAGTTGACAAAAACAATAATATATTTGGTTTTGTGGACCAAAATTCATGTTATACATATGTCTGACTTGGACGGCTTTTCCTTTTAAAAGAAAACAAATTAATCAGAATTCTGAGGAAATTTTCCTAAATGCCAGTATTCTAGTATTATTAATCATAAGAAATGAAAAAAAACTTAGAAATACTCCTGAGAGTTTCCAATTTCAAGCAACAATGTTTTGCTTCTAAACAAGTATCACTTTAATTTGATAGACTTTTAGCACTGCTTGTGCTCTCTGGGATTTATATATCATATCTCTTCTGACCCCCGTGTGTGCTTTTCAGTGTTAACTTTGCTACTACAACTTTTTCTCTGCAGTAGATAAATGAACATGGCAAGTTGATGCTACATGACATACCCAGTAAGAATCTTGCTCTTAAAGCATCTTGTCCTCTTTAAGAGGCCGGTTCCTGTTTCCAAATGCATCACATTAAAGCCGAAAGATGAACCTGCCTACCTTTATTTCCATCCTATCAGCTCTCACCTTGATTTTGATACTTCCTGACAACCGTATCATCTCTTCATTATTAAATACTCAAGAAAAAGCTAATAGGACTTGTTAAATTTGATCTTGTGTAAATCAAAGAGACGCGAGGGACAGCAGAGATAAAATATGGTGATGTTGAGATATAGACAGGGATATTTGCTGAACTCTATCTTTGGTAGCAAACTATTTTAAGGAAACCATCATATGTAGTACTTCCTAGAAATGTGAAAGAGCACTCCCCTCCCAGATGGAAAATACATACTCTTCAGTTACCTTTTTGCTGTGCATTTATATTTACGTATATATTTATCTATAGAAATAATACTTGATGGGTTTTAAATTTTTACATAAATTCTGTCTTCCTATGCATATGTTTTGCAATTTGCTTTTTTCTCTTACCAACATGTCTAGGAACTGTTATGTCTATATACGCAGACTTTTTATTTTCTCCTCCATCTCTTTGGGGCGTTTGCCTTTTAAGATAACTTCTAATTCTCCATGAAACCTTCTCAAAAGGAATCTTGTCAATTAGGTGGATTTCAGTAGAATCATAGAATTTAAGTGCAAGCCAGTGCTTAGAATCAGGGTCTCCCTTAAACATGTGAATCAGGATATTAGACATCTGCTTATGATTCATTTGAAGTACATTACTTTTGACCTACTGTTGACTGATTAATATATACAATTCAAGAATATAGCAGATTCTTTATTCACAATAGGTTTTTATTTAAGGGAAGAAGGAAAAGGGGAGGAATAGCTGATACAGAAAGTACAGCGTAAACTAAAGTCTCTATACGACTCCCGAGTAGTTATATAACATGAAGTTATATAAGACTTCATGCTACCAAAAATTAAAACTTCTGATTGGTCTGTGCCTTTTTTTTTTTTTTTTTAAAGATTGTATTTATTGGGCAGCCCTGGTGGCTCAGTGGTTTAGTGCCGCCTTCAGCCCGGGGTGGGATCCTGGAGACCTGGGATCGAGGCTCCCTGCGTGGAGCCTGCTTCTCCCTCTGCCTGTGTCCCTGCCTCTCTCTCTGTCTCCCATGAATAAATAAATAAAATATTTTTTAAAAAATTCTTAAATGTAAAAGATTGTATTTATTTGACAGAGAGCACGAGCAGGGGGGGAGAGGGAGAAGCAGGCTCCCTGCTGAGCAGGAAGCCCCACATAGGACTCAATCCCAGGACCCTGGGATCATGACCTGAGCTGAAGGCAGATGCTTCATCGACTGAGCCACCCCTGTGCTCCTGGTCTGTGCCTTTAATGAAAAAATGAAAAGTCCTTTTTCAGATTTCCCTTGCTCCCACATCCCAGATCCCTATCCCTCTTAAGAGATAACCGTTGTTAACATTCGGTGTGTGTCTATCTCTCATATATAAATGTTTTTATTTATACTTGGCCTTTATGAGTTTTCAGTTCCCTGAAATCAACTTCTACGTCAAATTCCATCCTCAATCAACTGCCCAATTTACAAAGAACCAGAATCATTCTTCTTTTTAAAAAAATTTAAATCAGCGGTTACAGTTCTTGAACTAGAAGTTAACTACTTGATTCTTAATATGTTTTATCATAAATTAAGCTTAAAGAGCACCTAGCGTTCTGGGAAAGTCCAATTATTGGTTTCTATACCTTGTGGAAATAGGGTTGGGGAAGAGGAGTGTGCTAGTAATTCTGAGTGGGGCTCATTCTCTTGGCTTAGTCTTCCTTGAACATTGTGGTTGCCCCCCACAATTACTTTATAGGTATTTCTCCGTCACTGTTAAGGCTATAGCTTGGCATGTGAGTGCCCCAGAGCAAATCTATTCTTATCTGCTTTTAATGAAAATACTTTGTGGGGGGCACGTCTGGGGGGCTCAGCAGTTGAGCATCTGCCTTGGGCTCAGGGCGTGACCCTGGGGTCCTGGAAATGGGCCCTGCATCGGGCTCCCCGCATGGAGCCTGCTTCTCCCTCTGCCTGCGTCTCTGCCTCTCTGTCTCTGATGAATAAATAAATCTTGAAAAAAAAATTCACAGGGGAAATTGATTTTGTTAATTGTTTCTGGATGGTCTTTTAAAAAATTTATTTTTTAAATTTAAAACACATTGTGCTCATCATGAGTATCATTTCCCCTCCTTTATTGAGTACCTGGTCTGTGCCCAGAGCACAAACAGCAGGGGAACCAGCCTGTGTAGTTAGAGCTTAAGAGATGGGGAACAGACGACCATTGCCTGCAGCCCAGGATGTAAGTAGTTTGTCTGCATATATGAGGTTTACTAAGTGCACGTATTCATATTCTGTATTTGAACAGATACGTACACGACAAATTTTTGAGGTAACTAGAATGACAATTGGAGCTGATCGTGTATTGGAGGTAAAGCTGGACAGAATGATTTTCAGTCTTGCAAATAATACATTCTCAAGCCAAATTAAAATAGAATAACTTGTTTTCTAGCTTGAAGGGGACAATTAAGTGATCCTTAAACCCAAGTTGGTTCTGCAAGTTTTGTAGTAGCAGTGAAGAAACAGATGCTTTTTGCTTAGACAGCTGCTTTTTTTTTTAACCTAGAAAAAAATGGATTTTAAAAAGCAATGGTATTATTTTCTTTGTTTTTGATAGATGTTGTCTTGCCACAGAAATAACCCAGGACACAATCCATTCCTAAATCATAGTAGGCCCATTTGGAGAATGATTCATAGTATAATTTGTGTATTTCTTTTTCTTTTTTTTTTTTATGCAGGCTCCACATGGGACTTGAACTCAACTCTAAGATCGAGTCACATGTTCTAATGACTCAGCCAGCCAGGGACCCCTAATTTGTATTTTTCTAAATGTGTTTTTCAAATAGGGATTATGGGTCCCCTTTTTCTTTTTTAAAGATTCTATTTATTCATGAGAGACACACAGAGAGAGGTAGAGACAACAGGCAGAGCAGGCTCCATGCAGGGAGCCCGATGTGGGACTCGATCCCAGGACCCTGGGGTCACGCCCTGAGCCAAACAAACGCTCAACCGCTGAGCCACCCAGGCGTCCTTGGTCCCTTTTTTCTTAACTGAAATTGAAGACCTAGACCAGAGAGGTTAAGCCAGAGAGCTTAATGAATATTTGAATTTTCTGATAATCCTTCCAGTGCCTTTTAAGGATATTTTTGATAGTACAGTATATTATTAAAGTTAACTCAAATTATCAGGTTCCTTGGCCCTTTTTGGGAGAAAATAGAGTGAAATCATCAGTTTTTAAATAACTTTCATAAGCTGGTTATCAAGAAGTAACATTTATCTGTGCTAATTCACAAAAGGTGAAAATCTTTTAATCTGGTGACAGTTCTTTAAAATGTAAAGCCCCATGGAAGAAAAACCATATAGCAAGGGCAAGATACTTTGAGGACTTTTTGCTGTTTCCTGGGTCACAAAACTACCCATCTTGTCCAAAAGCTATTGAATATAAGCTCCCCCACCACAACTGAATCCCATATTAGTATTTTAAAGCCTAAAAATGTTTCAATTGAAGAAGTGGTGTAGGTGGTTTCTCCTCTTCAAAGACTAAGGCCCATGGTAGTGGCACGGGGAATTTATGAAGGGTGTAATTTTGGATGGGCCTTTCTGAAGATGGTTAGATGGGGCCTGTTCGCTGACTGATGGTCTTTGGTGTGTCGCTTTGAGGCTGACCTGGCGGTCCCAAGTCCCGAGCAATTAGTCCACCGCTCTGCTGGAACTAACACTGTGCTGCTGCCCCTTCCAGTCAGACATTTAAAAGATCACCAACTGGATAAAGAATGATTTGCAAAATAGTCATCACGTAAAAGAAATTCTTCTCTGCGGAATGTCTGACAAGGATATGATTCTAAAAAATTAGGGATTTCCTTAAATGCAGAATGAAGAGCTAAAGCTTAAGAGGGGTTTTGGTTGGGAGGTTCATTCAATATGGGAAGTGGCTTGTCCCTCTTCACTGACGGCGAGTCTTAGGAAATGGGCGGCTTTAGTTAGACGAAACATGGGCAGGGTTTGTGATTCAGATTATTAAAAGCGAAGAATCCAAAAATTGGCTTTTAAAAATATATTGTCAGGGGGCCAGGTGGCTCAGTTGGTCTGACCCTTGAGTTTTGCTCAGGTCATGATCTCAAGAGTATGGTATTGAGGCCCGCTCCGCACTCCCGAGGAGCCTGCTGAGATTCTCTCTCCCATCCCTGTGCACCTCCCCCATCTCGCAAATAAATCTTTTATTTATTTTTGTAAAGACTTCGTTTATTCAGGAGAGACAGAGAAAGGCAGAGACACAGGCAGAGGGAGAAGCAGGCTCCATGCAGGGAGCCCGAGGTCGGACTTGATCCCTGGACCCTGGGACCCCAGGAGGGAGTCCAAGGCAGACACTCAACCACTGAACCACCCAGGCGCTTCACTTTCCTGAATTTTCATTTTATTTCATTATTCCACAATGGTTTCTAGCTTTACTGTATCTTATTGAACTTTAATTTAGGACCTAGAATTTTTACTGCACTTGAAAATGGCCTGGGGAAGAAACATTTGTTTTATCAAGTGGAACTAATGTTCTTTTTTAAAAAAAAGATTTTATTTATTCGAGACAGAGACAGTGCAGGAAGGAGCAGAGGGAGACGGACAAGTAGACTCGGTGCTGAGTGCAGAGCCCAACACGGGGCTCAATGCCAGGACCCCAAGATCGTGACCTGAGCCTAAGTCAGGAGTCTGCTGCTTAACCGACTGGGCCACCCAGGCACCGGAAGACTGATTTTCTTGTATAGCATATAGGATTCAGTCTTCTGTTTCATGCATTTGATTTTAAACTCTAATGGCCATTCTACAACCCACCCCCCATATTTCACCTTATATATGTAGGTGTGTGTGGTTTTTTTTTTTAAGATTTTATTTGTTTATTTGAGAGAGAGTTGGAGCAGAAGGGAGGGAGAGAAAGATGGAGAGATTTTCACTGAGCGTGGAGTTTGTTGTGGGACTTGATCCCATCACACTGAGATGACAACCTGAGTTGAAACCAAGACTGAGATGCTTAACCAACTGAGCCACCCGAACACCCCTAATATATGTAGTTTTTTTTTAAATTTTTATTTATGATAGAGAGAGAGAGAGAGAAGGAGGGAGGCAGAGACATAGGCAGAGGGAGAAGCAGGCTCCATGCACCGGGAGCCTGACGTGGGATTCGATCCTGGGTCTCCCGGATCGCGCCCTGGGCCAAAGGCAGGCGCTAAACCGCTGCGCCACCCAGGGATCCCTATATGTAGTTTTTAAGTGAAATTATACATGGGTTTAGAAGAACTATAGGCAATGTATGAATTTCACCAAGAATGTGTAAGCAAACCTGGGAATGAACATTTTAGGTTTTGCCTGCAATTTCATATGTAAACCCAAGAAAAAAACTTGTAGCTTAAAAGACCTACTTTGTTGCAAAATATATATGTGACACTTCAAAAGATTTTCAGTTTTGGGTTCATTTGTGAGTGGGGACCTAACAAAAAAATGAATAATAAACAGATTCAGAATTTAGGAGGCGATTTGTGTTTCTGTTTTCCTAAACATTCTATGTGGAGCATTGTACTGGTGCTCTGAAAGATATACAAAATGTACCATATAATTCACTTCTTTGAGGAACTTAAAAACCTGGGGGAGAATTATCTAAGAGGTGCAAGAGAATTTAGAGACATTAAAGATGGAGGAGGTAAAATTAGTACTTGTAGAAAGTAGTGCAAAGCTTAAGCGTCAACCAAAAGTATCTCAAAACTAATAAAGCCATGGGGTGTAAAATTAATCCCAGAAATTAAAAGCTTTCATTCATATAAACAACAGCCAATGAGAAGACATACTGGAAGAAAAAGCTTCTTTTAAAGTAAAGACAGAGGGGGGGCCTCTGGATGACTCAGGTGATTAAGCATCCCGCTCTTGGTTTTGGCTCAGGTCCTGATCTCAGGGTCATGGGATCAGCACCTCATCAGGCCCTGGACTCAGCACAGTCTACTTGAGGTTCCCTCTCCTTCTGCCCCTCCCCCTTCTCTCTCTCTCCTCTCAAAGTGAATAAATAAAATCTTTTACAAAAAAAATAAGAACAAAGGAGAGAACACCTAGGAATAAATCATAGGCAAGACCCCGAAAAGAAAACACAAACACATGGAGAGGCATGCCATACTTCTGGATAGGAAGACTTAACCAACATAAACATGCCAATTATTTGTAAGTTAATCTTTAAATTTAATGCCATCTCAATAAAAATATTAGGATTTTCCAAAACCAGAAAGCTGATTCCAAAGTTCCTATGAAGAAGCTCAGTAAGACTAGCCAGGACAGCTCTGAAAACAGTAGTGAGGACAGACTAGCCTTACAAAATACTAAAAACAGAAAACTGCAGTAATGAAAGCAGTCTGGTACTGGCATGTGACCAGACAGATCATT